CACCTGAATTCTCTGGACATTTTCTACCTGAGCACCAGAATTTTCTTTTTCAGCTCTCAATTCTGCTACTTCAGCCTCTAAACCTTTTAATTTCTGACACAAATGGACTTTTTCTCGAACAAGTTGCTCCACTCGTTTGCTGTCTCTTGTGGGATCAACACTAAGCAGCTGGTTATGTAGTTCTTCTTTATCTTTCTCCAGTCTTGCAATCTGATGACAATTTGAAAGAAAGCATACAACCTTAAATTATCGAATTTTCAGCCATAAACATGCTTTACAAGTCAGTAAATTAAAATTAAAAATTGTACAATATGAAAAAAAAAAAGCTCAGGTGGTAAAATGAAGTACAAAGGAAAAAAATCCTAAAATGTCACATTCTTCATTCTGTACTTGGCATGACTCAAATGTGAGGGCAAGGACCTTGTCCTATTTTCCCTCCATCTCCCCGTGGTGCCTAGCACAGGGCTTCATCAGTTGCTGACTAAAATTCAAAATTATAAGTAATACTATAAAATAATAATTAAAAACGTCAAGTATTTCTAAATTCATCAGAACATTATAGGGGTTTATGCAAGATCATATTGATCTTGCATAAACTGATTACTCCTAAGCTTTTCCTCATGTGACAGTAATTCTTGGGCTACATCTATACTAATAAAATCATCTATTCCAAGGCAACTTAATTTACAAAAAAAGCTGCTTGTCCATATAAGTAACAACAAATGTGACTGATGAAAGCTTTTAAATAATAGCTGAGAGTGTCTTAAAGCCCTAGTTGTAGTGATGTCCTAGTTCTTAATTCTCAGATCCAAGAAAGAGCTGAAAATCATTACTCCAGGGCATGTAGACAAATCACCAAGGAACTTGTTGATCAAAAATACCAGTGGTCTTCTCATTCACGCCAACCATCACTGCCAGATCTCATGTGCCCCCAAATCAGGGGATTTCAAACTGCTTCCTAACCTCTGAGGCACTTCAGAGGCCCCTCGCCTCCAGGAATGAGGGTCCAAATAATCACTGTAAAACTCATTCTATGGGGCTTCCCTGGTGGCGCAGTGGTTGAGAGTCCGCCTGCCGATGCAGGGGACACGGGTTCGTGCCCCGGTCCGGGAAGATCCCACATGCCGCGGAGTGGCTGGGCCCATGAGCCATGGCCGCTGAGCCTGCACGTCCGGAGCCTGTGCTCCGCAACGGGAGAGGCCACAGCAGTGAGAGGCCCGCGTACCGCAAAAAAAACCAAAAAAAAAAACCTCATTCTTTCCCTCTGCTGATCTCGCCAACTCCCTATCCCCTACTATCACCACCAACAAACCTTTGTTGTTAACCACAGCAGCTCCTCTTTTTAGTCTCTTTTTATATATGGGGTTTCTTCAGGGGATTTAACTTAAAGATTCAGTTGTTTAAAAAAAGAAAAAAGAAAGTTAGAAGTGACGGCTATAAACAGCACCAGGGGTTGTTGTAGCCAGGATGAGCTTAGCAGGCTCACTCTAAGGCAAAAGGACTTAAAGTGATGCTCTGCAGCCTGGGCAAAAATGGCCCAAGGGACAGCTGATTGCTCACTCTGCTATAAGTGAATCTAAGTGTGAGACCTCCACCCCAGGGCAGAATATTCCTCATCTGTAAAATGAGAGGTTAGAATGAGGCCCTCTAAGATCCTATTCAGTTCTAACATGTAGTGATTCCAGTTTGGTTTTGGACATTAAACTGAAGCTGAATTAAAGATGTCAATGGGAAATATAGGTAGAGCTATCCACAGAAGGCAAATGCCATTTCTTCCCAGAAAATAAAATTTATTATAGAAGGCAGCTGTAAAATTCAGGGTCAAGCCCTCAAAAACTCAACTAATTAGTGTCTCCTATTTTTCCTCCCATCCTTTACATAAACATTACCCCCAAGGTTTGGTCCCCAACTACCTTTTTCCCTCCATATTCTCTTTCCTTCAGCCAGGTGTGTGACTTTGTGGAAGTCATTTTTTCACTTTGGCATCAGTTAAAATGAAGGGCTGGGCTGGAAGATCTTTAAGAAACCACTTAGCTTTTGCATGAGGAAATCCAAATATTATTCCACTGTGCTATATCAGAGGTGTGGCAGCTCATCGATATGAAACTCGGGTTCAAACAATGGTGCCCTTTACTGAGTACTTAATATGCATCAAGTGCTGAGCTAAGTGTTATATATAAAATTGCATTTAGTAACAATAATTTATCTTGTAGTCTTCATTTTACATATGGGATCAGACAGCTAATGTTCATGACCAGCATGTTTCCCTATGTTATTGCTTCCTCCAGTAGTTTTAAAAGGCATCTATGTGATAGTTGAAGTGAGAGCTGAAGCTCTGGACTGAGCTAGCTAATACCAAATTCAGGATTAGATCTCACATTTATAACTCCTTAACAAGAGTTCTCTACCAAGTCACTCCTCCCAAAACTGGTAATCACTGCCTTCTAACTTCTCTATTCATTCGTTCATGCAACAAATATTTATTGAGTACTTACTGCATAGGCAGCACTGCTCTAGGTATTAAGGATACATTAGAGAACCTAGCAGATAAGCAGAGACAGCCAGCCGGCTCTCAGTATCTAACAGGATTGGTTCCAGGACCTGCTACAGATACCAAAAACCAAGGGCTCAAATCAGTCCTCTGTATGGGCGGGTTCTACATCTGCCGATTCGACCAACCGTAGACTGTGTACAGCTGACCCTTGAACAACATGGGTTTGAATGGTGCGGGTCCACTTATATGCAGTATTGTATGTGTATTTATTTTTAAAAATCCAGGTATAAGTGGACCCGCACCGTTCAAACCCCATGTTGTTCAAGGGTCAACTACAATCATAAAACCTCTGTTCTGGAGGAGCTCATATTCAATCACTGCTATCCATCCTCTGGGTAAAGATCTTGGACACAGCCTCCGCTCTCCCCTTTTCCTCCAATCTCAGATTCACATGTCATCTCCCTTGAAGTCCTGAATTCCCTAATGACATATGATGTTCAACATATTTTCAGGTGCTAAGTTGCCATTTGTATATCTTCTTTGGTGAGATGTTTGTTAAGGTCTTTGGCCCATTTTTTAATCCGGCTGTTTCTTTTCTTATTGTTGAGTTTGAGTTTGTTGTATATTTTGGGTAACAGTCCTTTATCACATATATCTTTTTCAAATATTTTCTCCCAGCCTATGGCTTCTCTTCTCATTCTCTAGAGTGTCTTTCAGGGCTTCCCAGGTGGCGCAGTGCTTGGGAGTCCACCTGCCGATGCAGGGGACGTGGGTTCACGCCCCAGTCCGGCAGGATCCTGCATGCCGTGGAGCAGCTGGGCCCATAGGCCATGGCCGCTGGGCCTGCACGTCTGGAGCCTGTGCTCCGGCAGCGGGAGAGGCCACAGCAGTGAGAGGCCCGTGTAATGCAAAAAAAAAAAAAAAAAAAAAATAGAGTGTCTTTCAGAGTGGAAAGTTTTTACTTCAATGAAGTCTAACTTATTATTTCTTTCATGTATCAAGTACCATATCTTGGTGGTGTATCTAAGTCATCACCAAACCCAAGGTCATCTAGGTTTTTCCCTACATTATCTTCTAGGAGTCTGATAATTTTAAGTTTTACATTTAGGTCTATAATCTATTTTGTGTTAATTTCTGGGAAGTTGTATGGTCTGTGTCTAGATCCACTTTTTTTTTTTTTTTGCATTTGCATGTCTAGTTGTTTTAGCATCATTTGTTGAAAAGATAATTTTTCTCTACTCTGCCTTTTCTCCTCTGTCAAAGAACAGATGATGCTATTTCTATGGGTCTATTTCTCAACTCTCTGGTCTGTTCTATTAATCCGTTTGTCTGTTCTTTTGCCAACAGCACACTGTCTTGATTACCATAGCTTGATAGTCCTTCAACTTTGTTCTTCAATATTGTGCTGGCTATTCTGGGTCTTTTGCCGCTCTCTATAAGCTTTAGAATCAGTTTGTCAATATCTACAAAACTTGCTGGGGTTTTGATTGGGATTGTACTTAATCTACAGATTAAGCTGGGAAGCACAGACATCTTGGCAACATTAAGTCTTCCTCTCCATGAAGGTGAAATACCCCTCCATTCATCCTTTGATTATGTTCATCAGATCTTCACTTAGATCTTCTACATATTTCTTTTAAGTATTTCATTGGGGGGGTGCTAATGTAAATGATATTATGTTTTTAATTTCAGATTCCACTTGTTGATTACTGTCATATAGGAAAGTGACTGCCATTTGTATGTTAACCTTGTATCCTGCAACTCCACTGTAAAAGCTGGATTAGTTCCAGGAGTTTTTTATTGATTGTTTTAGATTTTCTGCACAATCACGTATCTGTAAGCAAAGACAGCTCTATTTCTTCCTTCCAAATTTGTATGTCTTTTATTTCCTTTTCTTGTCTTATTGTATTAGCTAAGACTCCAGTACAATACTGAAAAGGAGTGGTAAGAGGGGACATCCTTGCCTTGTTCCCTGATTTTAGTGGGACAGCTTCTGGTTTCACACCACTAAGTATGACATTAGTTGTACTTTTTTTTATAGATGTTCTTTATCAAGTTGAGGTAGTTCCCCTCTAGTACTAGTTTGCTGACAGTTTTATCATGAATGGGTGTTGGCTTTTATCAACAACTTTTTCTGTATCTTTTGATATGATGATGTGATTTTTCTTCTTTGGCCTACTGATGTGATGAATTACATTAGTTCATTTTCTAATGTTGAACCAGCTTTGAACGCCTGAAATAAATCCTCCTTGTTCATGATGCATTATTATTTTTATACATTGTTGATTTCAATTTGCTAATATTTTGTTGAGGATTCTTTATTATTTTTTTAATTTATTTTACTTATTTTTGGCTGCATTGGGCCTTCGTCGCTGCACACGGGCTTGCTCTAGCTGTGGTGAGTGGGGGCTACTCTTTGCTGCGGTGCGCGGGCTTCTCATTTTGGTGGCTTCTCTTGTTACAGAGCACGGGCTCCAGTAGTTGTGGCTCGCAGGCTCTAGAGCACAGGCTCAGGAGTTGTGGTGCACGGGCTTAGTTGCTCCACGGCATGTGGGCTCTAACGATGCGGCATCGAGGATTCTTGCATCTTTGTTCATGGGAGAGTTTGGTCTATAGTCTTCTTGTAATGTCTTTGTTTGGATTAGGTATTAGGGTAATGCTGGCTTCATGGAATGAATTAAGAAGATTCCTTCTGATTCTATCTTTTGAAAGAAAT